TTTTTTTTTTTTTTTTTGAAAATCCCTCGTTTCATGGAAATCTAAAAAGCAAGCAACAGTTAGTAAATCCTCAGCAGAAGCTGAGTATATAGCCCTTGCTTTTAGCACTTGTGAGGCTCAGTGGCTGTTATATTTGCTTAATCACTTGAATATTCCTTACACTTCTCCAGTTTGCATTTTTTCAGATAGTAAAACTGCCATATCAATTGCTACTAACCCAATTTTCTATGAAAGAACCAAACATATTGAGTTGGATTGCCATTTGATAAGGGAGAAGATAGCTCAAGGCATAGTCTCTCTTACACACATCAATTCCAAGGATCAAATTACTGACATTCTCACCAAACCACTCTGTCATCCTTTGTTTCCAGCCTTATGTTCCAAGATGAACTTGAAAAATATTCATGTTCATCCTGAGGGGGGAGTAATAGAATATGTACAACTTGTTTAGCTTTTAGTACAAGTTCATTTGTTTGTATTGTAAATAACACCTTTATATTAGGTTTGGCACTTTTATCTCTTTTAGGTTATTTGCATATTTGGCCCAAGTATATAAGGCCTCTTCATGTACATTGCGCAGACACTTTTTTCTCATTCAATCAATTCCATATTTTCTGTTCATCTTCCTCTCTCTCTTTCTCTCGTTTTTCTCTCTCTCGATCTATACTAAGCTTATTCTAGATATACTTGAAAATCTACTAACATGTTAAATGAACTTATCCAGGCCGTAGAACCTTTTTTAAATGCGGCGCAAATCAACACGTCGTTGACAACCATGTGCAGTTCTCCATCGTTTGCCTCCAGATCCTTCATCAAATGCCTTGCACGACGACACAACGTCTCCAATCGCCTTATGCGAATCGACCGGGATTCTGTCGTTGCGCGCTTCCAAGTCCCGGCATACTCGAGCAGGCCGTGAGACCTTGCGTGGGATGACTCTAGCGACACTGTTCTACCGCTCCAATTCCACAAACACGATCGAGCTGCGGATTCTATCACCTCCGATAAAGAAAGAGTCGATTCAGGCTGGAGATGGTGGCGTTGTGTGTTAGGCTGCGGTAGGGTTAGACATTTTAGGATTAGGGGTGGTTCTATGGGAATTAGATTATTTTTAGGAAAAGTGCAATTTTAAGAACTTTAGTTATAATGTAATTTGATAAGTGGGTCAAATAAATATTTTATTAAGAAAATCTATTAAACATAGAATATTGTTAAAAAAAAATGTTTAATATGTGTATTGATATGCATATTAAATGTTCAGAAATTGTACTCGAGTTCATGTATTGATTGATTAAGTATGTAACTATTAAAAATTTTAATAATTGCACAGATATGTCCGTGCAATGCACAACAACTATAAATATATTGCACAATAGTGTGTGTATAGGAAAATTAAGAAATTCAAAATAAAAAAATATGAAATGTCATCGCGCTACAGAATGCACAATATTGTTCATCGGTTGACGTTGAAATTATTATATTGTTTTTTAATATATATATATATTGGGTTCTATTAAGAACGTCGACAATGTGTACATTCAAATTTATTGAATAATAAATCATAACGCAGCGGAATCTATAGTTAGAATTTGGACTTACGGTTTAAATTTTTTGCCGACTCTGAGACGTTTCTGATTTCCGTTGATGGAGATCGTCTGAACACCAAAGTACAACGGGCAGATGGACTTGGCCTTTCTCGATCATAATCGAGTCATCGAAATCATCGAATAGCCTCGGACCTTAGGTAAGTGAATCGGACTGCTCGGAACTCGCCGTCGGGTCGAACAGGGGCTTCTAGACCGAGTTGGACTGGTTCGGGCCGGGCTGTACTGAACTGGGCCGGACTGGACCTGGTTTGGGCCGAACTGGGCTCGCTGGGCCTTGGCCGCGCGCGCTAGTCGAGGCTGGCCGCATCTGGGTCAAGGACTGCACGCTACTGGGCTGCAGGGCTCGGTCGTGGGTGGCTCGCACGCGGACAGGCACACAGGACGCGCGGGGTCTACGTAGGTCACTATCAGGTGGCGTCTGGCGCACGCGGGTCTTCGTCTTCTTCGCGGATCGTGCAGGGGCGCTGCCGGTCGTCTGCTGGACGCGCGCGAATAACACTGGCACTGGACGA